CCAGCCCTGATGCACTGCTGACACCTGAAGAGACGCAGTCAAACACCCACACACCGACCATCAGCTCCATCTTTGTCTCTGTGCACCTGCTGCACATCACCTCCTCCTCACCTCCTCTCCTTTCAGCATTTCCTTCATGTTTCACGTAAAATAATCTGAAATGTCTGTTTCCTTCAACTAATCTGTACTTACAGGAGACAACTTGGCTGTCCGTGGATCTCTGAACAGTTGAGCAGCTTCAGCTGCTCTGTTAGAAACGTTCTCCCGAGTTTGATCTTCACGGTGACGTCAAGGTCTGGAAATTAAAGAGAGAAATACTTGAACATGTTGCAGCGTCAGGATTAAACACGGCTTTAAATGCTCCTAAAATGATCAATAATTTCCTCTCAAGTTACAAAACAATTTACTGACAAAGGTTTTTAGATTTCAGTGAAGTGGTTTGACTTCACGAAGCTGCTCAAAGACCTAAATGTTGTTTTTTTTAATGCTCATTAAAAATTCACACGACTGCTTCCTTCTGCAAATTTAAACTTTTTTCAGCGGTTTCTGATCCTTTCAGATTATTTCGGCTAACTACAACATTTGTGCATCTTCTAACTTCTTTCAGCTAATTTCTGCAATTTCAGCTACTATTTATGTTTTTACGCTAATTTTAGCTTTTTCAGCTAAGTCCAGATGTTTTGCACTAATTTAAACTTTTTTCAGCCTAATTCAGTAATACTGTGCTCTCTCTACTTCCTTTTGTTAATTTAAGCTTCTTTCAACTTTTTAGCTACTGTTCAGCTGTTATTTATTTGTTGCAAATTTCAGCTTTATTCAGATAATTTCCACTTTTCGTGCTTATTTCTGCATCTTTCAAACTTATTGGACAAACATGTTCTTTCTCCTTTCTTCTGCTACGTTCAACTTGTGCTAACGTTTCAGCTACCTTTTTAGCACTTCTTAGCTCATTTCAGCCGTTTTCAGATAAATTCTAGTTTTTCATGGTAATTTCTGCTACTTTCATCTTTTTCTGCTGGTTTAAACTTCTTTCTGCTTTTTTGACTACTTTTCAGCTATTGTTTGCTATTTTCAGCAGTTTCTTTATTAATTTTAGCTGTTTTTTCAGCAAGTTCTTCAGCAATAAGCATTCACACTTGCATTTTCACAGGAACTGTAATTTCTCCAGTTTTCAGTTTTTTGTGCAGCTGAACGTTTAAAGCTGCTGCGTTTTATTTATTCGTATTTCTCCTGATTAAAGCGCAACATTTTCCTGTCAAACAGGAAGTAAAGGATTTCACTGCAGAGAACACGTCCATCATTAATTTAAAGCTGCTGACCGTCAGCAGGGAGCGGGTCAGACAGGATGCAGGTGCATTGTGGGTAACGTGGTGGAGGTCCAGTTGTTCTACAAAGCTGAGCAGGAGTTGAGGGGAAGTGACAGGCGAAGTTGGACTGAACACTCGGCTCCACGGTCAGGTGGGTCCGGATGACGAGTTTCATCTGGAAAACGAAGGGAAAGAAGAAAAACAGGAACTCTCCGAACGTCTCGGAGTCGGAGGAGAGTTAAGAACTCACCTCTCCGCTCGGATCCTTCACCACTCTGTGAGACACCATTTTGTTGTGGGACTCCTCAGGGACGGACAGCCACTCTGAAGCTTTGCAGTCGTCTTCAAACGTGCAGCTGAGAGACGTTAAAACACGTCAGGAAGTCGTGGCAGACCGTCTGCAGACCGTCTGCAGGTGAAGCTCCTCTCACCTGTTCTGAGAGACGCACCACACACAGAACGGGTCCTGAGCGGACCAGCACTCTCTCAGGTTCCTGTTCCTGCTGCACTCGGACACTGGAACACGCCGAATCTGAAACGAAACACAAAGACTTGAGAAACGCCTTCAGGTGGTCAGAAATGTAGAGAAAAACTAACGACCTGGTTTTTAAACGGCACGTAAACGTGTTTCTGATCCACTGGGTCCAGATGGGTTTTAGGAAAGAGGTCCTGGTCTCCGCTGGCCCTGTAGAGCACCTTTGGACAGGTGGGACGGTAGTTCCTGTCCACAGCGAGCTGAAAACAACATTTACTCTGTTACGCTTCATATCAGAGAAAAGACAAAAAGAAAACTTTGTTTTTTCACAAAATACATGAACAAAAAGAGGCCAAAATAAACAGAAAAATAACAAAAAGTAGCCGAAAAAGCAAATAAAAGCTGAATTTAGATGATAGAAGCTAAAACTTGCATAAAATCTGAATTAATCAGAGAGAGGTTAAATAGACAACAAAAGTTATCATTTTAAAATCTGAAATTAACTACACCCCCCCCCCCCCAAAAAAAAAAAAAAAACAGAAATGAGCCGAAAAAAACTGAAAACAGGAAAAAGTAGCTAAAAGGTTCTAGTGACATTTTTAAAGTTGCCTCATCTAACAGGGAACAAGAGGCGATAGTTGGAAGGATGGTTTGAATTTTCTCCCTAATTGAAATAATTTTATTTACAAAGAATCTCATGAAGTCATCATTACTTATAGTCATAGGAATACAAACAGCAGAAAAGAGGAAAAAAGCTGAAAGGCTACAGTTTAGCCATAATTTTTTAGCCTTTACCTAAAAGGCTGTTCTCTCTTCGCCTGCGGACTTGTTAAACTTTGGGACAAACCTTGATGAGCTGCCCGTCTGTGGTTCCGATGAAGAAAACCAGCCAGCTCCTCTTCCTCACCGCCAGCACAGAGCTCATGTAGTTCTTCTTGAGGAGCAGCGCCTTCGCTTTCAGCACCTTTGGTCTCGACTGGGAGAAGGAAAGATAAAAAGCATCAGATCTAACATTTATTCACTCCGTGTCAAGATAAAACGTACTAATTACAGTTCGTCTTCATCATTTCTCAGCAGTGGTGCAACACTCGAGCCTTAAAGTTTACAAGTTTTATGGTGATCATGAGGTCTGAGCCCTACAAAGCTCAACTTGGATCAGCAGAAAATATTTAATAATATTAATAACTGCTTAGATTTTGGGCTGAAGTAACAACAAAAACCATCAGCTGCACAGGACCTCCGACTAAAACAAACAACTGGTAACACTTTTGTTGTTTAAGTAAATCCTTGTTCCTTCAACCTCTCTGAGTTCATTTATGTACTTTTTTCCAACAAACATGGCTCCTCTCATCATGCTGAAAACACCATCACCACAGTAAAGCACGGAGGTGGCAGCATCATGCTGGGAGGATACTTTTGTCCTTGTCAGCCTGGACTGAGAAACTTTTGAAAGTATAGATAAGCTCCTGCAGGAGATCTGTTGGAGTCCACCTTCCAGCAGGACAACGACCCTGAACGCACCGCTGAACGACACTCCCCTGGTTTAAGGAGGACCGGTTTAGGGCGGTCCAGTGAAAGCTCAGTCCAACTGGTGACCTGTCTGTTTGGTCCAACGTTCCAAACTGACGATCTGGAATGGACTTTCTGCTGAACGGCTGCAAACGGGGGCTCTGAAAAGCATTGGCTTTACGGAATGGGGTGAATACGTTCATAATCCTAAACCACTTCAAGGCTGGACATAAAATCTTTGTTGGAAATAAAATTAATATTTTGTGTCTGTCCTCTGGACTGAAGGACATAAAGATGGACAAAGAGACTTCTTTGACCTTTGGTCCATTTGTTTCATTTCCCTGAATGTTTTCCACGACTCTCAGAACTAAAACTTGTTTCAGTTCGACTCGTTGACCCACCGTTTCCGGCTTGTTGGACGTGTAAAAGTCTGGATCGGTGTCCTTTGTCCCGCTGAGATCAGGACTGATGTCAAACAGAACCAGCTGGGTTTTGGAAGGTCCTCCGTCCACACTGAACACCCCGCTCCACAGAACCTGCTGCCCCCCCAAGATGACCGAGGAGGCCAACAGTTTGCTGCCTTCAGTCCCATCAGAGATCCGGAGAGTGGCTCCACGCAGAGACTTCAGGGTCTCAGGTTTACTGGTTTTCCCCTCCAACCAAAGGAGACGGATCCGGTTTTTGGTCTTTGAGCCCACGTTGGAGAACAGATAAACTGTTGAACTGATCTGGAATCCGTCCACAAACGTCACATTAAAATCACTCTTGATCCCAGGTGTGGTTCCTGATGGATC